GGGGGCTGCTGCCCGAAGCCCCACTGTGCTGCTGTAGGCAGCCAAGAAGGCTGAGCGCACCTCCTGTAGCCGAGTCTCCCGTTCACTCAGGGCTGTAAGCCTGTGCGGAGGGAGGGAGGGAAAGAGAGAGAATTAATGCATTACCCTGGGGCAGGATCCAACATTCTCATCCTGACGCCACACTGCCTATCCTTCTGCATTCCTCAGTAGAAGGCCAGCATCTGCCCCGTGGCCATACTACCCTTGTGGTTCAGGCCCCAAATGTTTGGCCCTGTTCCTCTCTTAAACTCTCTCTCAGCTCTCAGGCTGCTGTTCCTACCTGGAGAGGCCAGAGTCCTCACCTTCAGTCACTGCAGTCCCCAGGTAAACAGCTAGGAAGGTGCTGGCTTTTCTAGCAGGACTTCTTTTCTCATTCTATCTGCTTTTCCTTCCCTGGCCTCTACAGGCACTTATCACAAGTCAAGAAGGGGAACAACAAGTGTGAATTCCACATAAGGCTGTTTGATGACTTGAAGAGTCTTTAATAGAAAAGGCCTGAGATACCAGCCACGCCCAACCTCTGGACTTAACCTCTGAAGTCGAGGGGTAGGAGGGACACAGAATTAGAGGAAAGGTCACAGACCCACATGAGATGAGCCCTCACATTCCCACCTACCTAAGCACAAAGACCAGCCCTGACCACTAACTCACTCCAAAATTTCCCCTAAGAGACCAATCACTGGGTAACCCCTCCTGCAAATTTGTTAGAAGCAGCAGCAATATCCCCAGTTCCCAGGCCCAAATGACTTGCACCTAGGGCCTGGGGTAGCACATGGAGATACGAGGATAAGTGAGTGTCCAGGGGTAAGTATGGGGAGAACAGACCCAGGGAAAACAGATTGGTGGGAGTGGGGTGTGTGTGTGAGAGAGTGAGAGTGAGAGAGAGAAGCAGCAGCAGCAGCAGAAACAGGTTGTAGGGCAAAGGAAAGTCAAATAGCTCTAGCAGCAGCACTAAGAAAATGGGGCTGATACTGGATTCCTGCAATACCATGAACAACTCCGAAGTCTCTCTTGGCATGTGGGGGAGATACGTGGCCCCAGATTTTCTTTACTTCCTAATTAGGTTTTACATAGGCTGGAGACCATGTGTGCTTCTTTAGCTTTTCCTGAGAGCATATAACCAGGAGAAATACAGATAGTAGTTCATATTCACAGGGAATATCTAAAGGTCCGTATGTATGCATTCTCATTGCCCCCTATTTTTAGGAGGCAGAAAGGGGAGAGATCACAACCTATTTAGAAACAAGATAACTGGAGCCCAGAGAGAGTATGTGATCCGCTTGAGGACATATGGCAGGCAGAGACTGGAGCTACCATAGTGCCATTCCCTCTCAAGAGATGAGCTAGCAGGCTAGAGAAGTCAAGGCTGATATCCCAAGACAGAGCTGGTAAACATATTGGGGTTTTTTTGGCCATGCAGCATGCGGGATCTTAGTTCCCCAACCAGGAATCGAACCCGTACCCCCCTGAAGTGGAAGTGCAGAGTCTTAACCACTGGACCGCCAGGGAAGTCCCCAGAGCTAGTAAACATAACAGCTAGGATTTGGATTAAATTTCTCTGACACCAAAGCCAAAGCAGTGAACCCACATACTATGTGACCTCACCAGGAATCAACCCTGACCCTAGGCCCATCCTGCAATGTTGGAGGCCATGGGATCACGGCGAACTCTAGCCCTCCTCTGGGAACCACCCCTAACCTGAGGGTTGGCTGGGAGCACAGAGAGCTACTCAAGGCATAAATTGTAGGATCTGGGGCTAGAGCTGCCCGTTTCAGTGGCTAATACCAGGTAAGTGAGGGGTGCTATTAAGCAGGGGCAGAGATGTCTGCTTCCTCCAGAGGTAGCTCTTAGGCTCTCTGGCTGAAGTAGGAAGAGCCTACAGAAAGGTGCAGACAACTATTTCTTTAATCCTCAAAAATCTAAGAGATCTAGCTTCTGGCTTAAGGGTCTGGCTATAGAGAAGGTTGTACCAGGCCCTAGTGGCCTCTAAAGTCCTTGGGCTACTCCCTAGCTGCGGGGCCAGGGCCTGTGAGCACCATCTAGGAATCCCAAGGTCTGGCCCCTGCTTGCCCTCAGCAGGAATCCTTCTCAACTCCCAAGGGCAACTTGCCTCCAACCTGTCAGCCCTGGAGGGTATGAACTGGATTCTGGTGGTGGTGATGAATACCCAGCACCCGGTGGGGAGGTGAAGGCCCTTAGGCAGCCACAGACCAGAAGCAGATCCTGCTCCCCAGGCCACCGGAGGCTCTCCCCGCCTGACATCCGTGAAACAGCAGCGCAGGCAGGGGGCAGGCGGCAGCCAGAGAGGCAGCTGCTCTGCTAGAACTGGAAGTCCAGCATTGGAGCTTTGGAGGGAGAGGATTTTACAGGCTTGGGCTTTGGATGGGCATCCCTGTCCACTTTTCTTTCCTGACCAGAGACAAAAGCAGATGACAAAAGGGGGGAGGGGACAGCAAGGAACCCTCGGTTCTGCTTGGGAGCACAGCCCTCGGGCTAACCCGTTCTGGCTCTCCACCGTACACCTACTTTCACTACTCCACTGTTCTGCTTTCAAAGGGTTCTCATGTCAGGCAAAGCCTTGGACAGAAATAGAATCTTTTATAGCTAGAGTCCAGCCAGCTTTCCCTAAGGGTGTGTGCCCCAAGAGACCCACGGATGGGCTTTAGAGGCCGGGGAGAGTGAACACACTCCAACGCACTTCCTGAGCAGTCCATCAGGCCCCCTTCATACCTCAGGGTCCAGGAGCAGTGAGGTACACTTAACTGAGACACTCGGGAAGGGCAGGGAGCCCAGGCCAGCTCCCTGGGGCCTGCTGCTGCCTCATTCCTAGCCAGCACTCAGTGGCTCACCAGCTTTTGATACGGGCGGGCGGGGTGGGGTGGGGGCGGGGCATCCTGTCTTCTCAAGCAAGACACTTACAGACAATTGTTAGGGAGCTCATCCGGGAAGCTGAAAGGGAGAGAGGAGTCTGTGTGCAGGACAGCCCGTTCCTGAATACTGCCACAGCCTGTTACCATCTGCCAGCTGCCAAAGTCTGTGGAGAGAGAGGATCCGGGCAGGGGATGGTCCACTGATCTGGGGCAGAGAGGAGAGAGAGGGGAGATGATGTAGTCAGTCATATGCCTGACAGGGGAGGCCCTGGAGGAGTGGGGCGGGGAGGCTACGGTGGCCCTGGGACCGGGCCACAAGGGTCTGTTGGTAGAGCAGCTGTAAAGTCAACCATTTTCTCCAAAAGTACAAAAACAGCTGGACAGGTTATGACCAAGAAAGAAGAGTAAAAACCACAAGGCAGGGACTTCCCTGGTGGCGCAGTGGTTAAGAATCTGCCTGCCAATGCAGGGGACACGGGTTCGAGCCCTGGTCTGGGAGGATCCCACATGCCGCGGAGCAGCTGGGCCCATGCACCGCAGCTGCTGAGCCTGAGCTCTGGAGCCCACGAGCCACAGCTGCTGGGCCTGCGTGCCTGGGGCCTGTGCTCCGCAGCGAGAGAGGCCACTGCAATAAGAAGCCCGAGCACCGCAATGAAGAGTAGCCCCCGCTCGCCGCAACTAGAGAAAGCCCACGCACAGAAACAAAGACCCAATGCAGCCAAAAGTAAATAAATAAAGTAAAATAAATTTATTAAAAAAAAAAAAGACCATAAGGCAGGCTCAGCTGTGAGGACAACGCATCATGCAAAGACTTACAGGAGCAAAAGAACAAGAGCAAAGCATGGTGACAAAGGTGAGCCAGCAACCAAAGCCTGGGATCAGGGCATGCCTGCTCTGGCTGACAAAGCAAGTCAAATCTCAACAGCACCAAAAGGAGGGGAGCAAGGCTGAATGCCCCAGGAACCAGGGAGGGAGGATCACCCCACACTCCCTGGCATGCAGACTGGCAGGGTGGCAATGTAGAACCCAGACCACTGAGGTCCTATGGTAGAGATGGGAGAACAAGCCTCTTGGGGACGGTGCGGGCAGTGACCTAGATGGAAGAGGAAGGTGACAGGAGCCCTGAGCCCTGCCCTCTTGCTCTGCAGCATCTTCCAGGAGCCAAAGTTCGTATTCACAAGCATCAACCAGCAAACTCACTGGCTATGCCCAGGAGGAAGGAATGAATCAGGCAGCCAACTTGACAACTTCATCAGGCCTTTTTCAAGCAGAAGTTTGGGGGGTGCGGGGAGAGGAAAGCTGTATTGGGAATCTACCACCACCTCCCCACTCACAGCCCAGCCTTCTCTGCTGTCTCTGGACAGTAGCCCAGCTGGTGGGGGAGGAAGGGAGGAGATAGGGAAACATCAAACAAGGCCCTTCCATCAGCTACCCCAGGTCCCAATCCCCAGAGGTGCATCATCTTTGATGCTTGACCCTTTGTTCTTTAATTCAAGAATAGCAGAAGGTGCTCCTGTAGGAACCCAGAAACAGAGCAGAAGCATGAAGAGTGGTACAGGGGGTGGGATACTGAAAAATTAATTGACCTTGGCCCACCCAGTTAGCTGGAGTCAAGGGCTCCTAGACTGAGGTGACAGTCCCCTCAAGTAGTTGCCAAGCTTATCCTCAAGTAGTTGCCAAGCTGAGTGCAGCTCTGGCCAGCAATGCATCTCTGCTGATCATAAATCATCTCCTTCTTTTTTTTTTTTTTTGCGGTACGCGGGCTTCTCACTGTTGTGGCCTCTCCCGTTGCAGAGCACAGGCTCCAGACGCGCAGGCTCAGCGGCCCTGGCTCACGGGCCCAGCCGCTCCACGGCATGTGGGATCCTCCCGGACCGGGGCACGAACCCGTGTTCCCTGCATCAGCAGGTGGACTCCCAACCACTGCGCCACCAGGGAAGCCCTT